GGTTCACCTGGTTTGGAAAGCGTTCTTCGCGGGGCGTTTTCTTGCTGCTATTGGTTTCTGTGGCGGTTATTTTTCGCTTTTTCTCTTTGGCTCTTGTCCTGCGTGTTCCCGCCGTTTTTGTTGTTCTCTCCTTGATGTTATGGTTTTTCCTCTGTATTTTTTTTCGTTGCTATTTTTTTTTCTTTAAGGTTTTAAAGTTTTACAGACGCTGTTGTTGTTGTCTTTCTTTCTTTTTTTCTGCCTGGAAGCACATGGATCCATTGACGGTTGTGGCTTTTTGCCCGTCAAGCGAGTTTGCCCGTGTAGAAAGCGTTATCAGAGAGTGGTCCGACGTAAAGGCTGTTGGATCTCTTCGAATCAAGGAACGGAAAAAAGATATCACAAATGTATTCATAAAATTCAATAGTGAAGATGCAGCTAAGAAGGCTTCCTCGCGAATTATTGAAGTTCCTGGACTTTCTTTAACTGATGAAGAAAATGAGGAAAAACTGAAAGGGGCTAAGAGTGATCAAAGAAAGGGAAGATCGAAAAATCTTGCGATTGAATTAATGAATTTTGGCACATATGAGAAGAGCAGAACCACATTGGACCAACAAAAAAAGCGGGACGCTGAGAGGAGGCAAAGGAACCGCGAAAATAGGGAGGCAATAAATCACGGCGGGTTCAAGGCGCCAAATTACAACGGAGCATACAGACGGCGTATTCCCTTTCTTCCTCTAGCGCAGGTAAATGTGGCTGTTGTTGATAATATCCCATTTAACATGACTAATGATCAGTTAATTGAAATATTTTCTCCGTTTGGACGTGTGTTTGACATCAACCGATATGAGATGATGGCTATGGTATTTTACGACTCTCCAGAATGTGTTCTGCAATGCATTCAACAACTCAACGGAAAAAATATCCGGGGGAACGTAATCTCAGTCAGCAGCGGATCTGTTCGTATTCCGGGTCCTGTGGCACTTCAAATGGGATTTTAGTTATTTAAACCTAAGCGAATTACACGTATAATAAAGCAACAACAAGATGAAAAAAAATGAGAGAGAGAGCCATCCTTGATGGTTTCTAGTTACGGTATGAAGAGACTTGGATTTCCCTGCTGGTTGATTTAAAAATAGATACTATGCTGCGCATTAAAATATGGGGTTTAATCCCTTCTTGGAATACTTGGTCCATTTTCTTCTTTGTTTTTTCTTTTTCGTTGTTCTTTCTTCTGGTATCTTGCAGCATCTTATTGAGGAGATGAAGAGAACCCTTAGACTTCTCGACCAAACCTATGGTCCCCACAAGTCCTACAAATACACGTATATGCCAGATCCTCGTAAATTGGCAGCGATAGAAACTACTAGTCGCACTGAGATTCTTCCTCTAGTCATTCGTCCTCCAACGTCCTACGTTCCAAATCATGAAGTCTTTCTGGAAAAGGCGGATATTCATCGTCTAAAACCAACTAGTGATTTTAAAGGCACATTTAAGGATTGGAATGACTTGATGACTTGCGACAAACGACAGTTGCGTGTCCGCGGTATACCGCGAATGACTCGAGTTGCAATTAGAAATGCAGTTCATGCATTTCTAAATGGGAATCCGCCTGAACACTTTGACACAAAGGAGGAATGGTTATACTACAAGCAATTCAAAACTATTGATTACAGTTATCGCGTTATTCCAGAGTTACCCGAAAAGTACAGACCTCATCAAAATGGAGTTGATCAAGCACCTTTGCCGGATTATCGTGAGATTAACAAAATGCCTGAATGGGCTAGAAAAGAGGAGGAACGCTTAAAGAAAAAAAGGATATGACGTAGTATCTTCTTTCTGCACGAGCCATGAGATGTGATGGAGAACTAGCCTGTATTTGGAATTACGAGCGTTGTGGTTAATATTCTTGGCTTTAGATTCTTTCTTTTGTTTATCGGAATCTTTACCTGATGTTGTAGGTTCGTGATGTTTTTTTTTCCTCTCCTCTGCTTCTTCCCGGGCGAGCGTGTGCGTGCTTTGCTTCTCTTTTTTTTTTGTAGTTTCTCTTAGTGGCAGTTTTATCAACAGCAATTATGGCCGAAACCCCTTATGAAATTACAAGTGATGTCTCTGAGCTGGACCCGGAGTCGGCTGTTTTGGTGCCAGTTCAACAGCGCATAGAGGCGCAATTACGGAAGCATCTTCAGGAGGTGTCACAGCAGCTTTATGACGTGAAAAATGAACTTGTTACGGTTCAGAAGGAACGAGAGGAATACGGTGTGGAACTTTACAATGCCCAACAGCACCTAGCCAAGTTACAGGAAACTTTGGAGACGCACCATGAAAAGCACGCCTCAGTCCAGCAACAGTACGAGGAGAAGTTACAGGAGCGTGAGGAGCTTTCAACCCAAGCAGAGAGCCTTAGAAAAGAGATTGAAGATCATCAGCGACAGTACGAGCGGCAACAAGCGGATCTTTTGAAACTAACCGAAACACTTGTTAAGGTGAAACAATTCAATGATCAGCTTAAAAATGAGGTTCAGGTTGAGCGTCGTGCTGCCTACAAGACTGAAGAAGATATTACAAATCTAGAAAGGGAAAAATTAAAGCAAGATAATATGATTGATGCCCTTGAAAAGAGAGTAATATTTGTTGAAGAAGAAGTGACCACGGTGGATACACAGATTAAAAATCAACAAAACGAGACAAAACATGCGAGGGAAATTTTGGCCGAGGCACTGGCGGAAATGGAGGCAATCAATTTTGAGAAGAAACAGTTAGTGCAGCAGTGGAAAAGTACTCTTATTGGGATGCAGCGTCGCCATGAAGCTATGAAAAAGACGGAAGAAGCTCTGCAGCAACAAAAAGATGACCTACAGGCCCTTGAGAATGAGATAACAGGTTGCCGAAAAGATATATACAGTGTTCAAACGGAAACGGCAAAGTTAACGGAGTTTATGTCACGTGTCGATAATGAAGTGGTGGTCCTTGAAAAGCAAATTGATGCTCTGGTAGAGAGAAAGGAGAAAAGCGCTCAAGCATATGCAATGCTTAAAAATAATCTGGAGCAAACCGATGTCGAAACCAAGAAACTAGAATATGAGGCTCGTACTCATGCGTCTGAAGTTACAGATATTGACAGGAAAATTCAAAAATGTGCAAAAGATATTCGCTCCATGGAGAATGATATTATTGAATCACTTAGTAAGCAGACTACCCTTAAACAAGAAGGTCATGGCACGTTACAAGAAATTGAGAAAATTAAGGAGTCCATTAGAGCTAAAGAGCTTCAGGTGACAGAAATGGAAAATGAACTTGCTCGTATACGAGTGGATACTCTACAGGCCCAGCTACACAATGAGACATTAAAAACCACATTGGGTGAATTGGAGAGGGAGCTGCGATCTCGTGGTACAATGATTGAACGAATGCAAATGGATATACGTCGTAGACATGATGAAATTGATAGAAAACAAAAGCAATTGGATCAACTTAACCATCAATATGAAGAATTGGTGGCTGCACAAGGCTCGGATAAAGGGGAACATGTTGGTCCATTAGAAGCTACCATTAATAGTTTGTCAAAGGCTATTACAGAAAAGGTAAATGAAAATGAGGCCCTTCAGCAAGAGTGGATTAAACTTCAGACCGATTTGGTAAATTGCAAGAACAACGCAAATGAGGTAAATGAAGCTATTCTTGAACTCCAGGCAGAGGCTACTGTTTTGACTCAAAAAAGAGATCGACTTTTGGTAAATATTACGAAGGAAAAGGAGGAAATTACAAATTTGGAGAACAAAGCAAATGCAATGCATATCGAGATGAAGAAGGTGAATACGCAGCTCAGCAAAAACTCTGCGGATCAAAAAAATGTTGCTAATGAAGCTTTTCTTCTTGAAAATGACCTTATCCTACGACTCCAGGAGAAGAAGAGAGAGGCTATTGCGCTTGAACTCAAGCTGGGAGAAACTCGACAAGCCAAAACCGATATACTCGAACAGATTATGAATTGTGAGCGGGACATCTTGTTCTGGGAAAGGAAAATACAGATTGCGAAAGAAACGGAAATGGCACTTGATCCAACCGTTGGAAGGGCAGAGGTTGAGAAAATGAAGAAGGAAATCGGAATAATGGAGAAGCGTATGAATGACCTTCAACGTGAGCAACGTTTTCTGATTGAGGAAATGCAGAGGTCGATAGATCATCGAGAAATCATTCGAACAAAGGGTCAAGCTATTCAAACTGCGACCAAAAAGAACAAGAGAGGGGCTACAAGACTCGATGTAGACAAGGAAAGTACAAGAATGTTTAGGGAACTCAATGAAAAGAGACAAGAGGCACAACTAAAGGAAAGACTTATCCGAGAGAGTCTCGCCGCGATTGAGAAAAAGACCAATGAAATTGAAACTACTCAACGTGAGGTTGAGAACCTCGATGAGCAAATAACGGAACTTCAGGCACAATTGACTGCCACACAGAAAGAAAGTGACCATTTGGAAGATGAGAAGAGAATCAAAAATACAACTCTTCAACTCCTTCGTGATGCTGAAAGAGGCGCGTACAGGTTATCAGTTAGTCCGGAAGAGCTGAATAATGGGGTTACCCAGCTTGAAGAAAAACGCCAAACTTTGATGGAGATTATAGAAGATCTAACAAGTCGATATCCTGAATTGGCGGAAGACTTGTCTGGTGTTGCTTCAACGCTTTCCTGAGAGTCTGTGATGGATGTCCCGTTTTGGGTTTGTTTGTTTTTTTTTCTTTTTTCTTTTTATTTTCAGTCCATGAAAAATCATGTATGATGCTGAAATCGTATTACTTTTAGCTGCTCAGGATTGCAAATGTTTATGTACAGCAGGTGCTTGGGTGATAGTTAAGGTGCCATCTAAGAGTGAAGTCTTAAAAAAAAAAACTAGTGATACGTTGGATAAAAATGAACTGAGTTGTTGCATAGCTTACCTTCTGCGATGTTTCCTTTTGTTGTTCCTTCTCCCTTTACCTCTTGTATCCTCTATTCCATGACGAGCGCATTGAAATAGACTTAAGCCGCGTTTGCGCCCTCATGAATGCAGAGGATGCACTACTTCCATGGTCCGCTCAGCGAATTCTTTCCTGCATTGAAATTAAACTGGAGTATCGTGCGGAATTACTTGCCACTGCAAGTCGTCTGCCGGACGTCGCCGCAAGGACTTTGTTATGCCCTCTCTTTTCACACCGCTTACTGCATCAGTTCACGCATTCCTCTGCCTTTGGTATTATTTCCTCGATGTGCAATCATGCACTGACGCTTCAACAACGCCAAGAAGAAGAGACTAGGGGCGGCAGCTGGAATGGAGACACACACAGCAGGAACGGTACTGAAGACGAAGTCACCTTTGCTGCCAGAATCACGAGCAATGTATTGGAAAATTCAACGGTGAATTTAGAGGCTGCGCTGCTTCCGCTCATTGCTAATTCGCAAGGGCACTTACTAACTACCTTGAAGAAACGGTTGCACGAGGCAGAAGAAAGTTCTTTTGTTGTTAATTCTTATGAGGAATGTAAACCCTCCATGCCCGCTCGAAGGAGACTAACTCTAGTGCCCCAAAGGAAAAAAATGGAAAGAGCTCGTGAACAAATGAATTTGCCTTACCGATACATTTTTTCAGCAGCCATGGCCTCAGTAACCAATGTGGCACGAGGTGCGAGTGTTCACGACCGCCGTGAATTGTTGTTAAGGTTGGGAGATACACCAGTTCCGTTTCAGGTGCGGTCACGTGAAGAAGTGAGGCAACAGTTGCGAGGACAAAAGGCTTTGGAGACGAGTATGACGGTAGTTCTTCCAGAACATGCACATGCGGTTCCGTTGCCACCTTGGAAGCGGCAGCGAACAGAAGCGGAGGAAATTACTGACAAGGAAATTCCTACTGTTCAACCCACGGCAGCTAGTTCTACAACCTCGAGTTTTTCACAAGCATCTCTTGTAAATGCAACCTGGGTAAAAGAGGGAGAGCTCGTGCTCGTCAACGGTCGCCTCGTTCATCGTGATGCGAAGAAACAAGTTGAAAATGGTATCAGGGAGGAGAAAACGAGTACTTTGGCGACAGAAGAAGAACTAGGCTCTGTGGATACTTCAGAATCGACAATATCTGGTAAAAAGAAAGATTTGACAGAGAAGTATGCGCGGAAAAAGAGAATGCCCAATGCTGAGCATGGTTCTTCTAACTCTGTAAAAGTTGGTACAGTGAACACCCAAGGCGTGCCATTGAAGTCCAGAGAAGAACTTTTGGCGTTAGTGAGATCTCTTCAAGTCTCGGATGTTCTGCGGGCGGCCTTTTTGATTGGGTTAAATGATCATGACGCCGCTAACATGGAGAAGGGAACGAAGTGAGATGATGGAGTTGCTGCGCAGTGTCACAGTCATGTACTTCATATTTCTCATGATGATGAGTTCTTAGTTTGCCCCTTGGGAAAGACCCCTTGCTTCCAGCCTAAAGAGAAAATAATAATAGTAATACTAATAATTGGGCCTTTGGTTGTTGCTCGCCTTCTTTCCCTGCCTCATTCTCTCGGTGCGTATGCGTCTGCGTGCATGCGAGGAAGAACGAAGTAGGAGAGAGTTAACGGTGAGGGAGAGAACAAAAAAAACTAAAGAAGAAGAAGCGGTATACGTGGTGATAATAATACTAACAAGTCTAATAGAACGCTTTTGAAAAAAAAAGGGCTTATGGCTAAGGAAAGCTTTTGGTCTCCCGTCTCCAAGCCGACAGGTGAAGAGCTTGAAAAGGTGATCTTCTTGACATTTCTCCGGAACATCTTTTCCACACAACATGCTTCTGCGAATCGAGAAGCGGCGCGCCTGGAACGAAAACGGCATCGGCTGTCTCAGCAAAAACAGAAAGGGGAGAGACAGGAAAAGACTGCAGAGGCATGGGAGGACGAGGAAGGAGGAGCAGGGCCGTTAGTTCACATCATTGCATCTCTGGTGCACTCAGCAGGGGTGCCGTACAAACCGCCTATGAAGGAGCCAAACACAGTTGCGTCAGAGCCCGCCCTAGTGGGTGTAGAGGTGGCAACAAGCGACAATACACTCCAGCCAGCAGCGGAAGCATCACGTGAAGGGGTCTCCGCAGAGTCCGCCAACGTCATCCAGAAACCCCGAAGCGCACTTGCTACTCTCGTTGAAAATGCTCGTCTAAAGGAGAAATTGCAAAAAACAGAACACTCTGAAGCAAATATCGACAACTTCAAAGTGTCACCTATGCAACATTCACCCCGCGGCAGTGCAAGGGTCAATCTCCCGTTGGAAGGTCGTGATAATCCATCTGAATCTGACCAGCTTGGAGATGAGTTTGGTGTAGCGCTGCCTCTTAGGCATTCTACAGATGACGGCAGCAATGCGTCGTCACACCCGGCTGAAATTCCTCTGGCGAAGCATCCCTCCCAGATGTCTCAGGAGGAATTCCTGCGTCAATTCAAGCGTGCTCCTCGTCGGGGAGAAATAGGGTATGATGCAGAGGGTGTCGCTGCAGCCGAGGCCGTTGGATACGTCATGAGTGGCTCCAGGAATAAGGAAAAGCAACACTATGTAGACAGTATTCAAAGAAAACTGCATGAAAAAGAAGCTCGAAAGCTTCGACTGCAATTCAGAAAAGTTGAAGATGAAAGGAGCGATAATACAATGGTTCAAGCCATCCTCGCAATGGTAAATGCAAAAACTCACCATGAAGGCAACTAAACGTGTACTCAAACACGACGCCTTTATTCTTTGTTACTATTGCGATAGTTTTTTTTGGCCAAAATGGGAGAAATGGTGCGCCAAAGAATTATGATGGCACGTCTTGTTGAACCGCCTTGCTTGTTCATTTATGGCGGGTTTTTTTCCTTGAGATACAAGGTGTTCGCGTCTGAAAGGGGAGCACGAGTGATGCTTTCCACTTTTTTTTTTGGACATCTCATCGCTGTAACTTATGTTATTACCTTCCACGCAGAGCTGAGTCCGAATGCTTGCGCGGGGGATATAGACTGTTACGGCATGAATTCACAACAAGAGGCCGGTCGCGAAAACCACATGTTGTATGCATTAATTTTGCTTATTAGTATGTGGCCGTGGGCTGGATCAAGCTCAGTTGAAGCGGGATGCTCGTCGCACCTAACGCAAGTGAGCCTTTTGTTGTTGTTATTATTCCAATTTCTGGGAATGGGGACTCAAAAGTCCATAGTCAGGCTAAAATTTCTTTACACTTCTTGCTTGCTTGTTCTCTTCCCCTCTTTGCAGCCCGTGCTAAAAAGCCTCTCGAAATGTGTTGCGGCATCCTTGATGCGGTTGAGGATTGCTTCAAGTTCGTTGTGGCGGTTGCCTGTTGCCTAGTCCTCGGTGGTCCAGCCCTTATCATCGCGGGCAGCGTACTCCTCAGTCAGGACGACGGGCGAAAGGCTTACAACGAGGCCGTGAAGGAGTTTGACCCTGCCCCCATCAACGCGTGGACTGGGACGATTAACGGTGTGCCGACGAACGTGGTACGCAAGGCGCTAAACGTCCACGGTGCGAGTGGGGCCACGTCTGTCTTTGCGGAAGCCGTCATTCCAGTTCGCGATCCGTCTTCAACGCTTCCAGTTTCGGTGAACGTTGCCACTGTCGCCCCTTTCACTAGATACGCCTTCTTCAAGATTAGGAAGAGGTC